TGGCTAATCTTAACTAGAGCGTTGCTAAGGCAATGCTATCAGGAGTGTGCTCTTCTGAACTGATTTTGCAATATGTTTTTCAGCATTTGCATACTAAAGCCTCTATCCAGGGATTCTTTCTTGCAGAAACGGTGAGAGAAAAAGAGATGATTTTCATTCTGCTTATGGGGAAAACAATGCTTATCATAAATCATATATTTTACCAAAACTTGTTTAATGAAAAACATATAAACAAATAAAGGTAGAGTGTTTAATAGAGGTAAATAATATTCACATCATGTTAAGCTTTAGAGAGAAGGCATTTCTTCTGTAATTATTCCTGTAGTATGTATGACATTTGTATTATTCATTGGGATATAAAAGAAATTACTGACTAAACAGTTTTCACAGCTGGAAGTCCCTTGTGCTTGTCACTATTTAGAACACTTTTAATCCACCCTCAATACAGAAAAATGATTTTCTAAACCTTGGCTGTAAAAATTTGTGTGTTCAGGTTATTAGTTCTACATTTACTCTCATGTGATGTATTCATCATTTTTGGAAACAAACAAAAAAGGAATATCTCAAGTCAGTATACGGATTTTAGAATGATAACTGTATATAAATGGTTTAGGGATTTTTTTATAGCAGGGAATCATTCAACAGTATGATTCTAATTCTAAAGGAGAAATGGCGCTACCATCTGCAACAATTATTGCAATTTATGATTATAGAAAATCCTCTGTGCTTCCTTGTTCATCATTCCAGAATTTACATTTGTATTCTTCTGTTTCATTCAGGTTTTGATAGCTTGTTCATTGCCGGGGTCCCTGATGACTAATCTTCTTTTATTTTCTCTGTAGTGCTTGATATGGAGGAATTCTTTCATTCTACCTATCTCTAAATGGGATGAATTACACTTTGGCCAGGCTTTTCTCAGGCTGCTGACTATGATAGGACCCAAAATGACTATCTCAGTGAGATAAATCTCCTTACTTTCTTTGAGCTATCACCTCTGACAAATATAGATGAAATTGCTCAGTAAGTTAAAAATTATTGGAGGTCCCCACCAAAGCGATAAAGAGATTGCGTTGCTCTCACTTTCTTAGGAAAACAGGGTAAAGAGTCACAAATAATATTTTATTTTCTAAATATGTTCCTCAAAATCTACTGTCTAGTGTTACAATATTCTAGAAATTATGTCATTTTGCTAGAAGAATCCAGTTGCTATCTCTTCACAGAACTTCATGTGCAATAGCAAGTTGAAAATTCTGAACACCATAATGTAATTCTGGTTTTATACAGACACACCAGTTTTATATATACACACTCTCAACTTTTTAATTCTGAGTAAATGAGGATTGATGACTGGCTGCAAAGCTCTTTGCTTTTGTACACCTACTTAGCACATCTGTTCTTTATTCTCATCTTTGAAGAAGATAAATATCCCCCCCTTCTTCCCTGAACAGGAAAAGGGTGTGGAAAAACTTATATACATAAACACTCAAATTGATCTGTATGTTTTTTGACCAATATTTTATCCGCCAAAATTAAAAGGAAAAAAAAAAAAGGAACACTGCATTCTCCAAGAGTATCTATAAATGTGCACCTACTTTTCTGACAGCTTCAGTCAAACAACCAGCAAAGCCCCCAAAATACATCTATTTTCTTCTCCTCTTTCCAACTGCTGAAAATCAAAACAAATCAGAAGGATTTTCTTTCTTTTTTTTTTTTTCTTTTTGCTTGCTAGGAAATGGAAAAATATACTCCCTCTCATATGGAGTACTGAAGGATGAAGGAAGGACTTAAAACTGCAGGAGAAAAATCTATGGCATGGCCCACGGGCTCCAGACTTCCCTAGGTGCCACTGAACAGGTCTAGGACTCTCCAGGCTACTTCCTGCATTCCTTCTGGCAGTATGAAGCTTTCAGCTGTGCTGTCACTATTTCCTTCATGGGAATAGCCATCAAACCCCTTAGAATAGCTCATAGATGAAGATAGAACAGGGTATTTAGTAGCGATTAGAAACATACTGGGCTGCGGCAGCGCAGCTACTTGTAAAGGTCACAGATTCTCTCACTGGTAATGACGCTTTGAGTGCTTGACAAAAGCGTAATTGGATTGGTTAAGAGAGTGTTGGCAATTAGACGGAAATAAACACCTTCAGTACTGTAAAAGTGCACATGCCAGTTGACATCTGTGCTTTTCAAGTTTATAGAAATAACTTTGTTTGAAGCTGACCCTACTCCAAGTTTTCTAGACCAATTTGCAGTTTTCTTCTGTCTTCAAGACTTTTCTTCAAATATAACTCCCATTGTATTTCCAGACGAACATGATGAAGCAGGCAAATTGGAAAGGAAGGATTTTGGGCTGATGTTTGTTTTTTAATTAGCTGGTTTGCAAAACAATCCAGCCAACCTAGAAAACCCCAAGGAGTCTAGGATAGTACTAAAACTGGTAAGAACATTCACTATCTGAAGGCCAAGCATCAGAACAGAAAGAGCAGATAAAAATTATTCCCACCCTGCTCACAATAGATGATTTTTCCCACTAAACGGCATGCAGCCTCCTACAAGCTTAGTGAACTCCCATCAATCTTCAGAATCTGAAGCACCAAAAAATCAGATGGATATGCTTCTGTGAGGACAAGATACTCAAATAAAACACTTTAAAGAGTCCTGCCTCATAATTTTCAGTATTTCTGCTTACATTATAAGACATTACTACATTTGTCTATCTATCTATCTATCTCCTCTATTCGTAAAAGTGGGTGAGAAGCAAAAAAGGTCTTAACATAAAAGATTTCAGTAGATGAAAGACTAAGGGAAAAATAGTCCTGAAACCAAAAATGATTTCACTTAATTTCCTACTTCCAATTCCTTACTGGCCAAAGTATTTGCTGGTGCTTCCTTGGCACTTTCTCCTCAAAATCAAGGAAAATATTTTACACTTTGTTGAAATACAGGTGGTGAAATATAAGCATATTAAAGAATAACATTTAAAAAATAAAAACAGGTACCTTGTTCTGTGTTGCAAAAATGGTATATGTACTGTACAATAAGCAATTTTCCTATAAATGCATCATATAAAATGTTACCGCAACTGATTATAAATATCAATATATACATAAAGGTCTTATATTTTTCCATTTGTTCACAGAAATAGTTTAGCTACTCCGTCTCATATGACTCACTACAGGTTCAATCACACAACCTTCAGCCAGCGCAAACTTTCACTATATAAGATTATCCCTCCCAATGTTCAGTTTGTATGTACCTTCTATTTATTGATTTTACTCTATGCCTTCTTATAAATTTACAAGGAACTGCATATCTCAAACAATGAAAAAGTCAGTGGGATTGATCATTTTGGCTTCCAGACAGGTTTGTTGATATTTTTGGTGTGAAACTATTACATGAATTCTTTAATTACACTGTGATTTCAATGCTTGTGCAACTAAATGCTACTGTACTCACCACAGGCATTCGATCAAAGGTACGAACAGAGCACAATTTATCTATAAATAAACAAAATGTGCAACTCATTAATATCATTTCAACATATGATCACTAATTCTAGAGGAAACACACCTAAGAATACCCACTTCTACCTGTTGGATTTCCACGAACAAGCTGCATCTTGTCTTGAAGTTTAATAATTTGTCTTTCCAGCTGTCTATTCAATTCTACCTGTGTCTCGTATCTGGTTTTCCACTCATTACCTTAAAAACAGACACAGGGTTACCCTCTTTCCCAGATTATTTTATGCTGTTGCAAACAGAAGCGACTATTTTTCCAAAGTGTTCCCACTTTCTTCTGGAGACTGAGAATGTCTCCAGTTAGTCATCCTCATAACTAGGAAGTATTCATTTGTATACAAAGTAGCTTGAAAATCAAGGGAATTTTTCCACTGGGTTTACTGTGGTTAGAATTTTAACCAACTCACTCCAGAAATTCATGTTATCTACAGTTGCATTAACAATTAACAACAACAAAAAAAGTTAACATGCAGCATTTAGGACTTCTTAATTTCACATTTTCAATAACACACTTATAAAAGTCATGTTTTAAATGGCAAAACTTCAATTTCTGCATAAAAATTTGTATCTCTGTAGTGCCTACCCCAAAGGATTAACTGGCTGTGTCTCCTATTCAATTAGCAAGACTCTGCTGTAATTCACTTACCTTCATCTTCAACACTGCTAAGCCTTTTTTCCAGTTCTGTTATAGTGTTTCTCAATTCAAATATTGAGATTTCAAGCATCTGCCTGTGATATTTAGAGAAGTCAATCAATTGGCTATAGCATTAATCTTATTATTAAAATCAAAACTAAATTGAATATATTTTCAGATGAAGTATCCATTACTTTTTCCTGTGTAATTACATCACCTCGCTCATGCTTTTCTCAATATATTTTCTGTAGAATTGCTATCAGTCATTAAAAAAAAAGAAGTACTTCTAAAACTTTGTGAGTAGAATCACTTTCATAAGAAAACAATACGCACATTTCTTAAAATTTAATAACTGTCTAGAGATCATCAGCGCTAAACAAACTGAGCTCTCACACACTGGCCTTAATTCTTCATCCAAAAGAAAGTGTCTGAGAAAGGTGCTATTTGAAATTCTGAATTCTTTTTTTAATTTTGACACACTGCTCAATGCTTAACAGTAATTTTCTAAATTGTATCATACTCATGACCCACAACAAAATGAAAGCATACCATGTATTATCAGAAAGGAAAGCCAGTGATGAAAGTGAGTGTTACCAAAAAATCAAACCAAATCAAACAAAAAAACCCAAAGGCTAAAGCCACTCTTTTTTCAATAACTTAAGCTTACTCTTGTGGGGAAATATCTTTTTGCCCGTTGATTACTTTTGTATACCAGTGGGCAGCAAGGTGTCTGACAAGTAAGTTGACACAGATATTGGACTCTTTTACTGCCTTGGAAGGTCTGACCAGAAGCAGAAGCTAGTAGAGAAAGACTCTGATGAGAGCATGACCCACTGCTCGCATCAGATGTGCTGCTGAGTGACCCTCAGTCCTGTAAGTAGGACAATAGTAGTGTGGTTTACTACAATGACCGTAAGAACTGGAACGCCTTACAGCCTCTCAAAGAGGAAAGTACTACTAACTAAATTATTAACACTACTCATGACATAGCCTGGTTCTTCTTGGAGGTTTCTACAGAGAAGTGTTCCTGCCTATAAGATTGCAGGGAGTCAGCCCACGCCAGCATAGCTGCAAGCAAAATGCAACGGTACACAAGGGCACTTCGTGGTTTGGTCCCATGAAGTCAAGTTTGGAAGGCCAAGATCTCCAAAAGCAAAAGATTGTTGAGTGCATCCATTTTTCAGCATCCAGTCTAATATTTCAAAAGGACTGAGGACACAACTCTGCAAATAAGACTCTTTGGAAGAGGCTTTAGAATACTCATACAAAGAGTAAGACTTGTTTTAAAATCTTAGTTTTTGTGCATTAAAATTTGCAAGATGGAAAGCCATTATCTTCCTGTGCTGTCCTACTTCTTGTTTTTTGTTTTTAATATGGATCTTCCCTTTCTGGAAAAGTTCTGAATGAGAAACGCTCTTCAGAAAATAGTTACTGTTGGTTTTGTTAGAAATCAAACCTCCGCTAACAGGGCTGATCAATGAGAAATGGTGTCATCTGTTGCTCTCCTCACGCTCACATTCAGTTAGTGAAATTTCTTTTCCGTATCTTGGAACATCCGTTTTCAGTTAAAAGCTACAGAAGTAGAATTAGGCCAACCGATCACAAGAATCAGAAGGGATATGCCTGGAATGGGAAGGGCTGAAACGGCTATGGAATATAAAGAAAAGAGAAGGTGCCAATAAGCAGAAGGGTAATTAAAGGTAATTGAAGTCTCCAGTCAGAATGAGACAGAAACCTCTAATGGGAGGGGGACCTGGGGGACTTACAATTCCATTTTTTTGCTCCATTGCTCATTTTTCCCTACCAACCTTAAATTAGAGATGGGGGGACAGAGGCAAAAAAAAAAAAAATAAAGAACTGGTAACTTGCTGACAAGACAGCAAGTTTGTAGGGGAAGTCTCAGCAAAAGATAGTTTAGAGAAACACAGGAGCTGGAAGGACAAGATGCAGGAAAACCAGAGGAAATGGTTGCTGCAGCTACAGCTGCTTCTGCTTTGCTCCACACCAAATGGGAGAGGCAGATGGCTAGGAAGAAGAAAGATAAAGTCTTACAATTTTGCTGATATCATTGCAATACAAATGAGGTTTCTTCACAGCAGATTTCAATCAGCCTCACAGGGCTTGGAAAAGAAGATATTATGATGATGGTGAGTATTAAAATGTGATTTCAGGAAGGTAGACACAGTTAAAACTGTTTGTAACTACAGCCGAGCTGTATCGAAATCAAGTGAATTTCTCCTCATAAAGCAAATCCTAACTAGGTACTTGCATGGATGCAGAGGGACAACACTGTAAGAATGAGCTCTTTAAATCCAAAGTTTTCAGTTTTTAATTTCTGTTATCAATTCAAAACAATACACAATTCTTACAGCATAAGTTACATTCCATTCTTCCTTCTGCATCATTAGCAAAACTGCTAGCCAACTTCTAAATATGCTCCTTCTTCTGGAAGTATGCAGAAATGATAAAGTTGACTTTCCAGGTGTCAGACTGTATTTGCTACACTGGCAGAAAATCTTAATTTCATTTGGAGACTGAAATTAATTTTTTTAAAATCTAATTATTATTAAACATCACTATTCCAACACCACCTAGAAAGTAGCCAGGCTGAAACCTCAATATTCTAGTCACTGTACACGTAGTAAATTAGAGTCCCCTGCACAGAGAAGAGAGATGGAAATAAGTCATTTTTACTGACTTTGTAAATACGGTAGGTTTTCATTGTATTTTGAGCATTTTGCATTGCCAGAGTTATTTCTAACTGTGATAGGAAGTGATGGTTCAGGCCCCATGTCTGTTACTGTGAATTTAACGCAGCTCTGTATACTTGCCTGCCCCAACAGAGGCTTCATCTGTACTTTGAGAGACTGTGATTTTACCTACAATCTCACATTTATTAAACATAATTAGACACACTAAAGGCCTATGAGTCTTTCTTATGTCAATTGGCAACTTATAGTCACCACAGAGGAAAGCACAAAAACTCTGAGAGCTGGTGTTTAAGTAATCAGTGGAACGTAACTGCATCTTTGCAAACTACATCCATCAGGAATGCTCTTCTGAATAAAAGGAGAAAGAACTGCTTTTCTGACAAAAAGATGGGATTGAAATTATAAAAGAAGAAAATTGCTGAGTTTTTATTTAAGATGGTTTACAGTTGTTATTTTACTTCAATACGACAGCCAGTCAGAATGAAAGCTGTTTTGCTAACCAGATCTGGTTATCTGGTGCGTGTATCAGACAAAAGACTGCCTGAAGCCATTTTCTATAGCAGAGAGAGAAACAGGGAAACGGTACAGGAGAAGCTTAAGGCAAATCTTCAGTTCCAGGGCATCAGCTCTATAACATGGCAGACCTTTACTGATTCCTGTAGAAGAGAAAATATACAGATGCCTTCACAATCTATGAACAAAGCAGAAACAATACCACACAGTGCAAAAGGCATCACAGGAAAGAGAACATGAAGTATTGAAAGCTTCAGCCTTGAAACATTTGCAGTGACCAGTGCGCTCAGAAAATTCTACAACTTTCTTCACTATGAAAGCCACAAAAAGCTGAAACCTCAGCAACTGAATTTACAGGCATCTCTACCAACATTACTAAGTTTTTGACATGCATAAACACCTGGCTTTGCGCAGCCATTTAACTCCCATAGCCCAGAGAAGGCTGGCCTTTATGGGACCCCAGGGCCAGTATCTCCAACCTGATTGGCCAAGGGGCTACCCCAGGTGCTCCGCTATTTTGGAGGACCTTATACCCAAGTCCTCAAACAGGTCCCTATTCAAAAGAAGGATCAGCAATGGATCAACCAGCACATGCTACGTGCCAGTAGGTCTGCCTACAGTCACCATTTGGCTGCATGTAAAAGGGCTGCAGCCCCATAGCGTGTGGGGGGCAATGACGGCAGGGTGGGATGGAGCCAGAAAGAGAGCTGAATCACTGCAGCTTAGCAGCCGTGTTAAAGGCTTGAAGGTGCTAAGTGGCCTTTTTCAAGGCCTTCACTAGAAGCCGCGGGATGGCAGATGGAGAGGCTGGGGCTGCTGCTCACCATCGTGATCCAGGACGCAGTTCGGGAGCCACCGGAGGAGCTGCAACATCAGAGCCAGTGGACACGTAAGAGCCAAAATGGGTCAAATACCGGGGGATGGCACACCTGAGAGTGTGGCCTGAGTGGGACGGCACGCCTGTTGGTGTTGCTGGATTCACAGTGTGGTCAGTTACCAGGGAAAGGCGTGTTTGCCTCGTGCGGCCTCTTGGGTGCCCTTATTAGTAGTAGTAGTAGTAATAGAACATACATATATTTTACCTCAACTTTCCCTTTGAACTGATTTGTTATCCCCTCTTTACCTGTATCTTTATAGTGTTTTATGTATCCACCCCTGCTGTAAATATTGCACATACATTTGGATATTAAAGTTTCAAGGTTTCTGGTTATAATTGTTCCTGTTATTGTTAATTGTTAAACTGTGGTTAAAGGGTCATTTTGTTATCGGTATTGTAAATCCATTCATCGACACACAAACACCTATACTGCCACCTTGAATCTAATTAGTTAGTGGTCTGTTATCTGCTATTTCCACCGTGCCTTTTGGTTGGGGTGCCCACCCCTCTGGGTCGGACTGGGATGCTTTGTCTCTTTGTTAAGAAGTACACTGCAGTATTATATGCCTTCTCTCCCTCAGAAACATTTGCTGTGAGATTTCCCAAACAAAACTTCTACTGAGACGTGATTCTAGCAATTCAATTTCAGATTTATGCTACTAACTTCCACTAACATTTCTGAAAGATTTCATGGTATTAAATCAATAATCATTAGGCATCAGCAGGTACTTGGTGACAGACCCCTGACATGAAGGATCTTGAAAGTTTTCTCTTTTAAGTAGAATTCTCTTCCTCACGAGTGTTAAATGAGAGTTGTAGGTGGACTGTTAACAAACTGCCTAAATGGAATAAAAATGAAATAAGCCAGTAAAAAGATGACAAGGCTGAGATTCATCCCTAGGAATGCAGATATCTATCTCCAGGCACTTCTTTGGGTGTGATTCATCTCATTCTGAAACAGATATCTAAAGTAGGTCAGATGAATCACACCTTAAAAGGCCCTGTTGAAACTCCTTGACTATAAAAGCAATTGGTTCAGATGTAGATTTCTAACAACTCTGGTTATCGACAGTTAACTTGGATGAATGGAGTCAAATATTTGACTGTATCATTATTGCCTATTCATACACACAGGCTACACTGGGAAAATCACTGTAGAATCCAGCTGGAGCAGCAAGTTTTTACTCTGTCTCTGTCATGCCATCAAAATACAGGTTTTTGTTATTTAAAATATATTTTTCCTTTGATCAGCAAACAAGTCACAACTTCTTAATGTGACTTGGGCTTTGGGCCCAGTCCTGCAGAAGATTCTCAGAGACATTAGCAAGAACTTAAGGTGCATAAAGCTGCCAGACTTTCATTACTTCAGCCAAATATATTGGAGCAATGAAACAAAGCCAGTGCTGTTTTGCTTTATGTCTGAACCCTTGTTATATCAAGATCTTGTATCTGGTAAAAGACTTGGTATATGCAGAAGATAGTTCATATGTTGCTTACACTGTTACACTACTGCTCATGAGATTCAGTACAAGCATATTTGATTATACATAGGTGCAAAAAAGGTCCAAGCTCCTTTCTGAGACATTTTGAATGCAGAAGCTGCCCAAACATTTTGACTCTCCTGTCTTCTCCCTTTCCACGAGTAAATAAACATTCTTATAAAGTGCACAACTGCATGAATATTTGCAGAGAATCTTCATTCCGGGCACTGAATGAACCATAGTCCTGAGGAAAAATTAGTATGGAAGAGTATATTTGAAAATTGTACTGAAATACAAATATTAACTGTCTGAATTAAGGCAGCACAGGAGCTTCTAGCACTTTCTAATTTTTAACTTAATATTCAAAAGGCAATAATGTTCTCTAATACAGTCAAAAGCATGTAATTTCCTAAGCAAACCGTAAAAACAGAATTCCACCACAAGCCATCATGTCAACATCCACGTGAATCATCTGAAGGCTGAAGCATCTGCTGCCTTCCTGGGGGATTCAGAGATATTTATCAGTAGCAGAGGAAGAGTGAAATCCTGCTTTGCAGTTTCAACACAACTCAACCCTACGGGAAGAAGTGCGTAGAAGGCGCACCTCACTGTCCATCCGGTGGTCTTCCTCCCCCAAATGGACGGGCGTGCACACACACACGGTCCTCTCTTGTTCCCAGAAACCAGATCTCATCCCCATACCGGCTCCCCATCCCAGCCCCATTTCCCCTACCCGTACAGTACTGGACACGTTACTCAGCCTAGTTTTAGAGTTCTTGCTGGAAATTTCTTATTTCTTGAGGCCCCTCGGGCCAGTCCCAGGCCCACAGCCAGCTCCTCCAGCTTCCCATTACGCCCACCTCCTTCTCCCCAGGCTTTGCTGAGAAAGCTTTTCACCCAGCCCCACGCTACCCTGCCCCAAAGCGTCTGCTATGTCTTCTACCGCCCTCCCCTCCAGCTAGCCCTCCAGCCTCACTTTTCGCCCGCACTCCCCACCACCTCCT